GCTTTTATTTTGTCTTTGCTTGTACTTTTTTTTACTTTGCATTTTGTGAAACACAAAGAAAAACATCTAAAATGTAAGCGAATTTGCAAGTTATTGAGTAAAACCCTAGTCTTACACAAGCCGCGGCTTATGTTATCCGCGGCTTGTGTGAGACGTGAACTGGTTAAAATGTACCGTTTATGAGATAAGTTCGCGTCTTATGTAAGCCTCGGCTTGTGTAAGCCGCGGTTTATTTTCCTCGTATGAATGGCCTTATTGTGTTCAGCAAAGGATAAGTTAATGAAGAGAACGACAACGATCAAGTCTGGCATATTTTCTTGATGTAACGCCAAAATCTTACAACTAACCTAAAAATGATGTGTAACAATCAGTAACGAGAATTTCAACATCGAGCTCGGAACTGAAGCATTAGATAATCCTGGGAATGGACTCCTTGTAAGGTACCCTTTCACGCTTTCACACATCCGCCACGAGGAATAGACAAAGGGATGGACAAATAAAATTGAATTTGATTTTACTCCTAGAAACGAGTAGCCTTCTCATTTACACGCCCATTCTCTAAACTCTAACATCCTCCCCACTACTCCTCTTGATATTCTGTAAATGAGATTAAAAGGTGGATCCAAAATAGTAGTCCCTAAGATAACATTGACAATCAGGTATCCATGTTTTATTCCCATCAGGAGCCTGTGGTGTCAAGATTTCCACACATTGTGCAAGGTCACAAGAGATAACACAAGAGCAGGGGGGCCTCCCCCTCCCCCGCCCCCCAGCGCCATTGCCTCACCCGGATAAGAGACATGTCATCCCCAGTCTGCTAAGATGGTCCGTTTCACAGTCGTTTTTTTATCGTAACGTCTCCGCTTGGGATGAATCATGATAAGTGATGTTTTAGAAGGAATCTCTGTTATTTATCCCTCCTCCGTATCGGCTAAAGATATTTAGTAGAATTCTACTTGTACGTTTATGCAAACGCTGCAATCTGATGGGCCGAGCTACGGTACACTATCAGTCATTGGTTTGAAGTGGCTCGAGGTCGTCCACATAGCAATGATGTTTTCTCGTTTCTGCAAAGTTTTGGTGGACGATTTAGAAGAAAGTACTGGATAATTCAATTCTGAGAAGACTAAAAGACGGACATTGACCCATAATGCTCCTTGGAAAACTCAAAAAGTTCTTATGGCATTGATGATACAGATGGTTGACAGGCCAAACACGACTCCTGTTGATCAAGATAGGAGAACTTTGACCTTCAAAGCTTTGCTCTAACGAGTACATTTTTCAAAATTTATTTTTAAAGTTGGCTTGATAGCTTCACTGGATTCATTGGCTAGCGCGACACCTGTACCACAGAGGTCGTGGGTTCGATTCCGTTTAAAACTGCCGAATATCTGTAAGTAACTACATTGATCTCTCATGTCTTGGCAAGCTAGAAAGGAGGAACCCAAATATCCTAAAAAAAGCGTGTAACCTTTACTGAGGAATATATGAGTTTTGAGGTGATGTAAATTCTAAAGTTGTAAATCGACATGTAAATAGTTTGTAAATATTGTACAGAAATGTGTTTTATATTTATGGAGAGAGATAGTTTATTACAGTTTGTCACAGGTTTTAACAGTAAATAGGTAGATCACCTCACTGTTTCTCACTGATTAAAGGTTTTTTTTTTTTCTCAAAGCCTCCCATTGGCCCAATCATTTGCGAACTTAGACGTACTGTTTTAAAACAGGTTTCCGTACTTTATCTTTTACAAGATTACGAATCCTAATCCATACTTTACTAAACAAGTTCCGAGTTTCCTGTTGGCTAATAATCACAAACAAATTAAAACAAAAATGTGTTTACCGTGTTTCTATCATAAGAACGACTTTACCGTCAGTCATGTAGCCACAGAACCACCATTGAGTTGTCCCATCATTATGAAGGGTGCAGCTAAAATCTCGCTTACAACTTGATTGAAGCCGAAGTTGTCCTCACTTGGAACAGCTCCAGCTTATGGTCTGAACGCGCAGTCAGTGTGATTACTGTCGATGTGAAGAGCGTAACGGTCACGCACCTGCCAGAACGGTGCTGTGGTAGCACTCGCTGCATTTCCACGGATATTTACATAGTCCACTGGTAAACACTGACCGTGACCATGATATGTCATGATATCAAAGTTGCTGAACTTGCCTCTGAGGTAATCTCTGTAACTATTAAACCGTTCCCATTTTGGACATACTCCACTGCATTTTGTCAAAGCTGCAGGTTGCTTGCCAGTATGTGGATCGACTGCGGATACTCTTCATGCGAGCCAGAGTCTGGCGGTAACTGTAACAGTTTGGAGTTGTGTGGTTGATTGGTGCGGCTTGCATAAAAGCCTTGCATTTAAACTGCGGTATATCTTTGGATGTTATGTCCCAAGACATGACTAGAGTCCAGGCTGCGCCCGGCTCAGATGCGAGATCGCAGTAAGCTACATACCGCTGATCTGATGCATCAAAAAGCCAGTAGAAGCTGCTTTCGAAATTGCCTTGTTGTAGGTAGTCCAAACAGGATCGGGCTTTAAGGTTTCTTACTTGCAAATAGATACCATGACGAAACTGAAATTTAGAAATTGACAAAACTAAATAATTAATCTATGTTAAAATCTGCCTCGTGCCCAGGCGTCCCTCCTTGGTCTGGGCGCGGAGCGTGTGGAGTTGTCGGACAAGAACCGCCTTGCTAGTTACCGACGAAATGCAACAGCGCCTGAGGTTTAGCTTGAAAGCATCCACTGTCTGTAGTACGTACTTCTCAACTTCTACTGATTGTCCGTGAAGTTGTGGAGAAATGCTAACATGGAGCTTAGTCAAAATGTGACGTGAAAACGACAGTACGGAAATTGAGAATCAAAGGGCTGTTGTGCTGTCTCGAGTAACACGGCTGTTTGGTCAAAATACCCTTAATTTTGGAAAACGTTGAAAATTAAAGCGATCTTTTGGACCACTGTACATCTACTTTAAAAATGAACGGTTGTCGATACTTTCTTGTGGCATTTGGCGTTTCACTTGAAAGCCACTACGTGACATTTGCCTCGCACAGCTTGCAGCAAATCGAGTGGATTTGATATCATTTGTATCCAGTATTGGAGGTAATTTTTATATGTTATTACAAACAAGAAACTCGTTAGTGACAGAGGGTCTTCAAGTAAGTAGATAAAAGACTTCAAAGTTTTTCATTTTTGAAAGACGTGTTTATTATTATTTAAATCGTGCACCGCTACTTTTAAATCAACGTTGCTACTTTTTTAACTTACAAAGAACACTGCTTAATGTCAGCTTCTAACTTGCATTTTTCCTTACTTAATGTTACTTCCTCAGGGATCGCGATTCTCTATATCTTACTAAATAGGGCAAATTACCAGTGTCTAGAACCAAAGTAGACTCGACAATGCATCTTCCGCATTTACCAACTAACTGAATCGCCTAGTTAGCCATGTAGCCACCAAACCACCATTGAGTTGTCTGATCATCTCCCATGGCGGAAATTCTTGTTAAAGTGACCGTAGTAACCAAAGTTATCTTCACTTGGGGCAGCTCCAGCGTTAGGTTTAAAGGCATAGCCAGTAGACTGGCTGTCGATGTGAACAAGGTAACCGTCCTGAACCTGCCAGAACTGTGCTGTGGTAACCCTTGCTGCATATCCACGTATATTCACATAATCCACAGGGAAACATTGACCGTCACCAAGAAATGTCATGATGTCAAAGTCGCTGAACGTGCCTCTGAGGTAATCTCTGTAACCAATCTTTTGTTGCATTTGGTTAAAGCTGCAGGTTGCTCGCCAGTATGTTGATCGACGACGGATGCTCTTCATGCGAGCCAGAGTCTGGCGGTAACTTACCAGTTTGGTGTGTTGTGATTAACTGGCGCGTCTTGCATGAAAGCCTTGTTTTTAATCTCAGGCAAATCTTTATTTTTCCGGCTCCATGACATGACTAAGGTCGAGGCTACCCCGGGCTCCGATGAAAAATCGCAGTAAACGACGTATCGTTTGAACTGCTCATGAAAAAGCCAGTAGAAGCCGTTTTTTGAACTCGCCATGCCCTAAGTAGTCCAAACAGGATCGGACGATGAAACTGTTTATTTGCAAGTGGATATTATCGGGGGACTGAAACAGAAAAAGAAACTTGTAACGAACCAAATCAGCATTGCTCTTCATTACCATTATGTTTTAGTGGAGTTGGGGGATTTAGATGCATGTGGATACAGATAAAAAATATTACCGATTTTATTTTGCCCAGGGTGATTAAAATCAGCAGAGAAAATAAGTTCAGTTTCTCGTGAGATTTGAGAAAGGTAAGTTGCTGAATAAATTGTGTCGGGGTAGTTTGGTCCTACACAAGGTATCTCTGGGTTTCTGGGTGAACTCAAAACGACGGAGCTTTGTATAACAAGAGAGCTCAGAGAGTTTGTGAGCGATGTATTTCCTGTCTAGGAATCAGAGTTCGCGAGACTTTGCCATGTCAGATTTAACAGAATACAAACATGGCAAGGGACCGCAAACGAAAATGCTGTTTATAGTACGAAGGATCTGTGATAGACCTGATAGGCTAAAAATAGAAATATAACCAAGAAAGGCTGATATGGTGCAAAGCCAAGACGGAACCGTGGACAACTGTTTCGAGACCCAACCTGGTCAAGTTCCATCCTGGATTTATAAGTTTGGACTCTCATCCCTGTTAGGTTGTAAATAATCAGCGTCCACTAATGGTGTGTGCAGCAATCACAATATCTTACGAGGAGTCTGTTGTGGAGTACATTATATATCAACCTTGGTAATAAGTTCTGCGATATGGAGAAATTTCCTCAATATGGCAAACATCAGTTCGTACGTTTTTTTTTTCCTTCAGACTTGTGACTCTTTTCGCCACCTGAATTTTAGATGAATTTTCAACTAAAAGTCATGTAACGGTGAAAGAGAAGCTACAGAAAAATGGTCTTATCAGTGGAAAATCGAGTTTATCCTCGCTAGTACTTCACGTGCAAAAATACAAATTTGTAGTTTTCCTCTCCATGGACATGCAAAATTCCCGGCAATGAGTGCCCAGACCACCATTCGATCTTGACGCATTGGCTTGACGCTTTCATCCGACATCCTTTCTCGAAACAGGTATATACGATTACTAACACACGTCTACGCGCTTTATCCAGACCGCAGCCGTGATACTTGTTTCTCACAGCTTGCAGTAAATTAAGTGGATTCAATGTCATTTTCAGTATGGAAGACAGGTAATTTATAAACGTTGTAAGATAGAGAGCAAATTGCTGAATTCTCATCGGCCGAGAAAGAGAGCATATTTTCTTAATTTTCTCTTCTAGTGAGGGCAAATTTACTTTAAAATGATTTGTTTTCTAGTCGCTTGGCAAGGGAGAAGAACCTTGCTTTGCCATTATTTTTCAAGGTTTATTGAAGAACTAAGGGAAATGCCTAAGCGAAAATGCACTGGAAGAGTGAAGAAGAAATTTGGAAAAGCGACCAAAAGAACACAAAACGAATGGCCCGTTTTTGTCTTTCCGTAATCGATCGATTGATACCAGGCGTACAAAAAAAATTCCCTTTGAACAAAAATACCATCAACACTATTAAAATGAGGAAACTGAAGGAGCATTCACTACTTAGATTAGCAATCACAGTCATAGGAAGCCGGTCGACCGAAATGCGAAATAAAGAACTTCACGTACCGCAAATTAGCGCACTGAAGAACTCCATGACCGCGACTCAGGAGAGGAACGAGAAAAGCAGATTCAAGAACAATGACTGCAAAGTTCCGCATTCAACAATAGCAGATTTGCACGTTGTCGTCATTTGACTACAACTACCAGAATTCCTTTCGTTTTTTCTTTATTATTTAAATTTTAAATTACCAGTGGGGTTTAAATGACAATTGCCCTGATTAGCATAAGAAACAGAAAAAATGAAGGATTCTGGTGGTTGTAGTCAAATGGCGCCATCATGCAAATCGCCTATTGTCTTGATGTAGCTGTACCCACCAAAGTGATCCGCGACATGCTACTCGAGAAAAGTCTACAACTTCAGACTGGACACAAGTGATATTAATCGTTAATTTTACTCAGCTCCATGTGATCACCTAATTAAAAAAATGAATAAATCACTTCAAAGTTTTTCTTTCTGGAAAGACATATTAATTATTGTCATTTAAACCGTACAGTAGTAGTAACAGTAACTGTAACTTCATTTTTACATAATTCAATTACAAACCTTAGTTGCTATTTGTTTAAATCTGTTAATTAAACGAAGGAAAAACTTCCATCGTTGGGACTCAAGATTATTTTAACCGTATTATATGTTTGGTTAGAAAAGAGAATAAGAGAAAAAAAGGAAATTTGAGAAGATAAATAAAATTAAACCAAAACATTATTAGAAATTATTAGAAATTAAGTAGCGAAACGTGGTTGGCAGGAGGGCCGTATACTAATAATGCATCACTACCTTTAGATCAACGTTGCTGGCATATCTTTATTGGTCAAAGAGCAATGCTCAACGAGTCAGCTTCTAACTTGCATTTCAGTTTTCCTTACTTAGTGTTTTTACTTCCTCAATATCTTACTGGATAAGGCAGTTTTCTATCAGGCTTAAGTTTTACATTTCCATTTTTAGTGTCCAGAACCAATGTGGACCCGACAACACGTCTGCCGCATATACCGACTAAATCAATCGTGCTAGTCCGCCATGTAGCCACCAAACCACCATTGGGTTGTCTGATCGTCTCCCATAGTGCAGCGGAAATTCTTGTTAAAGCTTTCGTAGCAACCAAAGTTATCCTCACTTGGAACAGCTCCAGCGAGAGGTTTAAAGGTACAGCCGTTGGATTTATGACTGTCGATGTGGATGGGGTACATGTTTTTGCGCTGCCAGAACTGTGCTGTGGTACCAATCGCTGTATGTCCACGAAGATTCACATAATCAACTAGAAAGCATTGTCCGTTCGCATCATATGTCATGATGTCCAAGTCGCTGAACTTGCCTCTGAGGTAGTCTCTGTAATCAATTTTTTGTTCCATTTGGTCAAAGCTGCAGGTTGCTCGCCAGTGTGTGGATTGGCTGCGGATGTTTTTCATTCGGGCCAGAGTCTAGCGGTAGATGTACCAGTTTGGAGTGTTGTGGTTAACGGATGCGTCTTGCATAAAAGCTTGTTTTCTAAATTGAGGCAAATCTTTGTTTGCCAAGCTCCATGACATGACAAGCGTCCAGGCTGCTCCCGGCTCGGATGAGAGGTCACAGTAAGCCACGTATCGCTTGTCATGGTCGGCATCAAAAAGCCAGTAGAAGCCGTTTTCAAACTTGCCACGTCTCAGGTAGTCCAAACAGGATCTGGCCTTGACATGGTTTGTTTGCAAGTGGATATTTTCGCGAGACTGAAATAGAGAAATTGAACAATTTTTCTAGGTCAGTCACGAAGGAAATGCTAAGTGAAATGAAAACGAAAATGATCTACTGAGCTTAATACAAGCAAAAAAAATCCAAATAAGAAATTGCATCTCCAGCTAAAAAAAAAGACACTGTTTGGCCAAGAAGGGTAATTATAACAAAACGAGAAAAAGGAGCGGATTAAGAAAGTTAAATGAAGCGTATTCCAAGCAAATTGTACATGTGGGCTTTGACATCTCGTCTTCAGTCTTCAGTATTGACGAGACTTCTAAACATTTTTCTTAAAACTGAAGCTTTACGAAAAGCCATTTCGTTCAACATAGATTTGCTTTCGGTCTGACTTTTTGTCTTTAGGCAACAGGGGACTGGCATGTAAATATTAACTAGAGTTGAATAGATCAATACTGCCATACAATTTACTTACGGATGATCTTACTTGACTCGCGGCAGCCAACACCAGCAGACAAAACAGTCTGAGTTTCATCACGCCTCTGAAAGGAAAGTCAACAACGAAGCCACAGAATCTATGGAGATGTATGTTATGTATCGCAAATAGTAATACGTAAATATGAAAGTTTTCTAGTTGTATATCACCACTGAATTGTACTGAATTAGAAGGTTTGATTCTTCCTACAAGTCGTTAACGTTTCCACTTACCTGCTCACCTTGGTAGGTTGAATCACTTCTACAGTATGACTAAGGCCGCGAACTTGTTCAATATATACCCGGCAGTATTTCATCGGTGGATCAGATCTTGGCTACATTCTGTAAACATCCGCTATTTCTGCAACACGTACGTGAGGACTTCTGGTGCTTGTGAGGGTCAGGGATCAGATATTTCTCGTTGGTACCATACCACACAACTGAAAAGTGCTTTTCGCGCGGTCTGATTGGTCAACTCGGTGGTAATTAGCAAAGAACTTTGCACGTCCTAACAAGTGAAGGAAAACAAAATGCCTTCCCGTTTAGCTTCGGTTACCGAAGAGGAAATTGTTTCGATAAACGAGAAGCTAGCTTTTCAGCTTGTGTGGTATCTATTAAAACAATTATTCACCTTAGTGTCAGTGAAAGTGGTAGATATTTACCTAGCCGCTTTGCGAATCAGTAAATATCCACCACCATTCACCTCCACTTCGGTTGATTAATTGTTATTAAAGCTATCTTTGTAAACATCCGGTTTGTCTACAGCACGTGCAAATCTCAGGTAGAGATTATGGTTACCGATTTTGCAGACATCCACTGCGCGCTGTCTAGAGCACATATTTCTCAACTTCGATTGATTATACGTGGAGTTGAACAAGAATGCGGAACACCATCCTCGAACTAGAAATTCTCTGTCACGTGTGCAGAACAGACTTGAACGCTGTTTATAAATTCACAACAATTAGATGATGATGAGACACTTTCGAGTTGCAAAATATTAATTTGACTGACATTTTGTTTCGTAATCTGCTCACATTATCATTGCTCGGTTTTAATTTGAAGTTGTATAATGTTATGCGAAAACGTCGCTTAACAAAAATTGAGAATCAAGGCTATATACGGTCCAAATGGTGTTTAAATTATCGAAATATTGCAACGCTGAATGTACTATTCGCCAAAAGTACAGGCTTTCCCTCGGCTAGTGCTATTTTGTCCCAAATGTGCAGTGAAAATGAATGCACGAATTCATTTATTATCTTACCAGATAACATATGATCGTGTGGATCAGTCAGCTACAGGCTAGTTAACATCCGTAACCCCTTATAAACTGTGGGCTGTTTTGTTCAAATAAACGCCTTAACCGAAAATTCTAACCAACGTGAGCATCAGCTATGGACCATTTTGAAACTCAACATCCGCTATGTCTGCGACCTCTGACCCACGTGTGGATCAGCCGCCTGAACTAGTGTGTAGTTCTCGCCCACGTGCAGATCAGCAGCTATTGGCGATTTTTGTACCCTTTCCTATTTCTCTGCAAATTTAAGTCACGTAGTATTTGGGTAATATTTTGTAGATGCCCACTTTTCTGCAACTTTCTACCCGCGTGAGGATCAGCCCTGACTATTTGTTGTAACCTGCTGGTCTGTGTGTAACTTCTTATCCACATGTGGATCATCGTCATCAGCATCATCATCGATTCCTTCTTACGCATGCGCCTCGTGGAGAAAGGGGCCTCGTGTGATTCAGATAGAGTTTACTTTCAGCTGAAAAAGTGTCGCACTAACTCACCTATGTCTATAGCTTCTGGCTCACGTGAGTTTAAGCTGTAATCTACTCTTTCCTGAGGAAGCGGTGTCACGATATTTTAAGTCATTTTTTTAAAAGTCTTTTTTACGGAAACAAATTACTTTCAGACAAGAAGGAAAAAGTAAATTAAACAAAAACACCAAACTAAAGGTTATGATTGAGGAATATTAATACAGATTGCGAATGACAAACTTGAAAAAATTGGGCGTTTTTATAAAATGGGCCGTCCGCTACGTGGATCCTCTACCATCAGCTACAGTATGTCTGAGACACGCCGATCGGTACTTCTAACCCACATGTGCGTTTAGACAATGAGCATAGACAACTATCTCTCCAGCGATCGATCGAAGCGAGCATAGGGAAACCAGCCTTAAAGGAGCTACGTCACGGTATACCCATCTTGAAAAGTTCAGCCTAGATTTTTCAAGTTCGCTATTTGTAATCCGTGTCTATCTTCTTTATCCTTATCCATCCTTCATCATTTATGATTTATTAATATCTCTTTGGTGTTCTTCTATCTTAGTAAAACAATGATACTATTTTCAGGTTTCCTTTAATTTAAAAGTAATTTTGTACTTGGCCCAAAAAACTCAAAATGCCGTAAAGTAGGCAGGAAAACAGTGGGTAAATATATATACTTTTGTATTTATCGCTACTTTTGGGCGATCGCTGCTTCCGCGAGTACGATGCGCGTCATACATACATTTGACAGTACGAATCAGTCATTGTCCGGCTTTGATTTTTACGTTGTCTGTGATTACGGTATGGGAAGCGAGTTTAGCGTATCTATCAGTTGCCGTGAAATTTAACGCCACTTTCATGAGAGCTCTTCATTTGTCAATAACAGAGCATGGTTCCATTTTATCTACTATTGGTCTGCCGAAGAGAATTGTGAGCGTAATGCTATGGGCCCGGACGCACTGAGCAAATTTTTGTTTATTTTGCAAAAAAATCTGTCACCAGTTCCCTCAGACAAGTGCGCCCGGTGATTTTTAGATCTACCAAATTTTGTCAAGGCTTACCAAACTTCAAAGACGCCGTCGTCCTGCCTAGGAGCAGGATAAATTTTTGTCAGGCGTGAAATCTGACAGACTTGTCAATTTACACGCCATGACTTGAAGGAAAATGTCAATCAAGAAAATTTGATCTCTATTTTTAGTCGGAGTATTTCAGTCCAAAGCCTGCCAAAATTATTTCATATTTGTGCGGCAATCAAACGGTGAAGAGGGAAGATTCGTACCTCGGTNCCCCCAGGCTCCTCCTCCTTAAATTATGTACCTGCCAGCTATTATATGACCACTTAATTGATGAAAAACCGTCTAATTACATTTTATCTCTGGTATCTGAGCAACATAACTACACTACTCGTAGTGCATCCTCACAACACTTAAATCCCGGTTTCACCAGAATAAATATAAGGAAATTTTGCCCCACTGTTATTGGATGTTACTATTGGAATGACCTTCCTTTATCTATACGTAACTTAGCGACTAGAAAACGTTTTAAAAAAGCACTCTTCCAGTATTATTTTGCTCAGTATTAATTAATACATACCTCTTCCTCTCCTATGTTAAGTTAACTTTTTTACCCTAATTATTATTGTCAATTAAACAAGGGCATCTAATTAGCTTGCTATATTTTTGCCCTTTTCCATTTCTCCTCTTACTTGTTTACTTTATATTTATCTTTGTAATTTTAGAATGGAATAAATAAATAAAATGAAAAAAAATGAAAAATGTGAGCCTAATTCCACACTAGCCGACAGTGCTCGGCGCTTACAAAAGAACTTGCCGAGAAATATAGATACCATCAACTCTCATCAAGATTTGTATAAACAGCTGCAGAGTTGCATACAATATTTTTTCTCGGTGCCATATTCAATTTCCTGTAAATGATCTGATACAAAAGGAAACAGGAGGGCACAAACAATTTGGCGGCAAAAAGTATACATGCAACTTTGCGGGGGCTGCGTACACGAAACTATAGTCTGCTGGCAGCCGGGTTTTTCTCTAAGAGTCACTTAGACGAGTCTTTAGTCATCGCGAACGCAAAGGGAAGGTATGGCGGTGGCCGAGCAGGGAAGAAGGCGGGACAAGGGTGGTATGGCCGAGTAGGGAAGAAGGCGAAACGAGAAAAAACCGTCTGCAGAATCTTTTAAACTTTTCAAACCCTCCGTCAGCCCAACAACGGAATACCTGATTGGTCAATATGTGCCCGACGACAGATAGTTGACAGAAGGATAAATAAAGCGTCATAAGTTTCGCGCGAAGCACAACAAAGAGTCTCGAGCGATGCAATGGCGGATCATCCCGATTATCAATGTAAAATGGGGTTAACCAAGCCTATACAACTCCTACGGTTCGTGACATTTGTACACTCAATTTGCCGCCCTCTCTTCGGTCACTCGACCTTTTTGTTGCTTCCCTCGTGTCAATAAAGGGCACTTCATGTTGTGCTATAAGGAGGAATTTTAAGCAGAGTTGAGCCGTATAAAGATCGTGCTATAGCAAAAGGTCAAGGTCTGCATGATTTCCGCTGTTATCTGCATGTGGCTTGGTCGAGTTTGACACCTCTGTAATTTGCCATGTGTTTATGCATTGTTTAGGCTCATTTCTATTGCAAGATATGCTTTTAAATCTCCATGAATTTGCTTTTGAGGGACAAAATATGAAATTTACCGTGAACATGTTGCTTACTTGCATTCTMTATYGTGACGCCGGGCCCGGCTGTGATTAGAACTGTTTGCAAGCACAGTAGGTAGATCGTTATCATGGATATCATATTTGTTCTCCTACGATTTCCTTCGGAGACGCCGTAGCTTTACTTTCCAGATTTCCGCTGTTATCTGCATGTGGCTTGGTCGAGTTTGACACCTCTGTAATTTGCCATGTGTTTATGCATTTTTTAGGCTCATTTCTTTTGCAAGATAGTTTTTAAGTCTCCAAGTATTTGCTCTGGAGGGACAAAATAGAGATTTACCGTGAAAATACTGCTTACTTGCATTCTATATTGTGACGCCTGGCCCGGCTGTGATTAGAACTGTTTGCACGGTGCAGTAGGTCAGGGTGAGTAGGTAATTTCTTATCAAGAATGTTTGTCCTCGTGCTTTTTATTTTCGGAGACGCCGTAGCTTTATTTAGAGAAAGCTATCACGTTTCTCTAGGGACATTCTTGTGTTTCTTGCAGCTATCTGATCGAGATTATGTTTCGATGTATAGGTTTATTCCTCCTTTTGGTCGTTCTGGTACCACACGATTCAAATGTAGTTGTTTACACGCAAGTTTGTTGACTGTATTGCGTGTTGTATATGCCATTGTTCGGCTAAGTTCAGGCAAAAATCCTGGCAGAATTTGGTTTTCCTGCGGACGATGGAAATTTCGACATTCGCTTCCAGCGTTGTCGAGTTTCGCAGTCATCGAAAGTTACTTCAATATCAGTTACGACGGGGTTTAAATTCGCCTTTAAGAAACGGACTTGCTCAACGGCGTTCCGAATTTTTAACGCACAGCTCGCAGACTCTGAAGCAATCATTTGGATTGTTGGAAATTCATGAGGTCGACTTGTGGCAAGTCTAGCCGTTTCTCAACACCTTTCTTCCCGGGAAGTTTAAATAAGTTCTCCGTGGATATGTGTTAAATTTTGTCGCCTTTTTGTACTTTACACCCACAAAGTCGACAGCAATCCCCAGAGCACGACGCGTTTTTCGGTTTAAGTACGGAAGCAAGCTTGTCAGGTGTTTCTCTTGAAGACGACATCGAAGAATGACCTTAGCTTTGCTTGCGAAATTCGCCCGACAAAAGAATTTGGTATTTCGTAAACATAACATAAGAGTTTGAGCAATCGGTTCATGTTACTGCTGTACTCAAACTAGTTTGCGTTTTCACTAGGCCGATTAACTAGCTGAACATTCTTTCTAGGTGTTTGTTTACAGACCATCATTTGCTAGTTAAACGTGTCATCTGTTTTCACTGGAAATTAAAACGAAGAATTTAACCCGCTGACTCAGAAGATTCAAATTACAAAACCGCGCAACTTTCAAAGATAGCTGAGAGAGGAAGCGCTTTTAATCACTTCTCTTGTATTGATTTAGGAGATCGAGAAGGCATTTTTTTTCCAGAGGATACGGGTAATGTCCCCAGAAATGAGGAAGATGCGACGAAATGCTGTAATGTAGGAACTTGTTCTTCACGTCGAGCGACGCCGTGTCCTGGCCAGGGAACTGGAGAATCTAGCGGGACCGTAGGAATGGTAAACCGAAATAATTGAGAAGGACTATTGAACACGTCTGCCGCTTAAAGTTCTGTTTCGCAAATGAACCGCGATACGAGCGTCTGGTAAATACTATTGCTAAATTCTTTGCAGGCGTCTGTCACTACGCACAATGTGATTGGCTGCGGCATTTACCGGGACAAGTTATACCATCTCGCGATGTAATATAACTTGGCGTGAATTTCCGGTCATATTGGCGAGATAATCGCTTCTTTTTTCTGGTGAAAACAGCGTGCATTTTTAACTCGCTAAACTCACGACGAACTGTTTTCACTGAATTTCCGGACTTTTCCGACTTTATCTAGCCAAAATTGTCCTAGTGAAAACACATTTAATTAGTTAATTGGTAAATGAGATTATTTTTGAGATTATTTGTGAGTGTCCTCAAAAACATGAGAAGGGTCTGTGGTCTGCTTTTCTTCTCGTGCGTGCCGCGCTCATGTCTCGTCCCGTTTCCTTTTAGCCAGAACATCTCCCCTCTTAATCCCTACTGAATTTCGAGAGAAAAACAGACTGCCAGCAATCCAACGAAACTCAGGTGGGTTCTCCATCCTGGGCGCAGTTTGTATAGTAAAGCTAAGGCCGTGAAAACTTCTTTTCATATAGCTTCGCTGACGTTTTCGGCGTCTCTTCATCTAACTGTTGTTGTAATTGTTCTTGTAACACTCTTTTTCCCCGGTTTGTCAAACTTCTGTCTTGAAACGTGTCGAAACTGAAATCTCCTTTTATGACTTCGTGGGCTCGCTGAAATTGATGCAGAAGATGTGCTT